AAAAAAAGAAGAAATAAATGACAATTTTAGAACTGAAAAATGCAATAAATGAAATTTTAAAACTCAGTGAATGAGCTCAATAGCAGAATGGAGGAAAGTATCAGTGAACTGGAAGATAGAACCATAGAGATTACTCATTCCAAACAACAGAGAAAAAATAGACTGGGGGAGAAACATAGCTCAGGGTATTGCAGTGTGAGTATAGCAAAAATCTAATATTACTGTCACTAGCATCTAGGAAGGAATAGAAACAAGGCCCATACTATTTAATCATTTTTATACCTGTCCCAGAGGCATTATTATTTGCTCACCTCCATGATAGTATCAGACTATCTTTGCCCAGATCACTCTGAGCTCCCCAAGTTCTCTCTTTCTTTTCTTTCCTTCTTTCTTTCCCTTCTTCTTTTCCTTCTTTGTTTTCCACAACAAGTTTTGATATCCCTTCTCTACTTCCTACTTTTTAGGACTCAACTCTAAATGACCTTCCCCTAGAAGTCCTGGTGGGGGGTGGGGAGAGCAATAAATAAGTAGTCATGAAAATCATTTAGTCTGATTAAGAAACTATTTCTAATCACTTTCAAAAACTATCAGTTAGTATTAGGTTTAGCTGGAAGAAACAGAAAGTTCACATGATAACAATTTGGTTTTGCCTCACATAAAAGAAGTCTAGACCATGGCCATTATGGCAGCTCTGAGTTATCAAAAATCCAGCCTTCTCTTTTTGTTTTACTATCTAGCATTGTTTTCTAGCCTCAGGATTACTTCATGATCCAAGATCTTGTCTGAGTCCCAGGCAAAAGGAAAGAAGAGGGGGGAAAGGTGAAAGAAAGGGATGTGCCAGTGGACTGTCCTCACTTTCAGAAGCCTTTCTATAAGTCTCACCCTACAATTTGCCTTCTGACTGACCAGAACTTAGTCATTTAGCCATACTTCGCTGCAAAGAAAGATTAGAAATGTAGCTGGGGCAAGGTCAAGGGTTCAAATCCCCTTACTGGCCAGCCACCAAAAAAAAAAAATGTAGCTGGAGAAAAAAAAGGAAGAGTGGATTTGGATAGGCATGACCAATCTTTGCCACAGGTGGTTTCAAAAATGTTTTAGAGTACAAATCATTGATAAGATAATTAAATTGTATCCCAAGTTGACAGCATATCTAAGTACATATTATTATATTTATTTAAATGGATTAGAATTGGAAATATCAGTATGAACTAATGCCTAACATAGATACAGATGGTTACATATAGAAATATTTATCAATATGTATGTGTGTGTGTGTGTGTGTGTGTGTGTGTGTGTGTGTATATACAAGTTAGTATATACACATATTGATAAATATGTATGTATGGAACCATCTATCTATGTTAAGAAAGGGATGTATACAAATGATGAATATTTTAATTAAAAAGGGATGTGTACAAATGATGACTTTTAATTCTAATAAGACCAGCACATCAATACAGTCTTTATGTCACAAGTTGTCTTAGTTCACTTCAAGCTACTATAACAGAATACCACAAACTGGGTAATTTATGAAGAACAGAAGTTTATTTCTCATAGGCCTGGGGTCTGGGAAGTTCAAGATCAAGGTTCTGGCATCTTGTGTGAGCCTTCTTGCTGTGTCCTCATGTGGCAGAAGGCAGAAGGGCAAGAGATGAGAAATGTGTCCTCACATGGCAGAAGAGTGAAATAGGGTGGACCTATTCCTGAAACCCCTTTTTATAACAGTATTAATCCATTCGTCAGGGCAGAGCCCTCATAACCTAAACACCTCCTAAAAGTCCTCACCTCCCGACAATGTTGCATTGGGGATTAAGTTTCCAATGCATGAGTTTTGCAGACACATTTAGGCCTTAGCACAATTGATGAAAAAAAATTAATTTGCTTAAAGAAATAAAAGGTATGTATTGGTCCCCAATACTTAAAAGTCCCTGGTAGGCCTGGCTTTAGGAGAGACTTGTTTTCTCTGTTTCCACTCTGCTTGCCATTGTGTTGGTTTCTTCAAGCATCATGCACTGTTCAGTTGCTCCCTTAGCAGTTACCAATGGCAGTGGCTGCTTATGTTTTCGTACCAAACCACCCTGGGCTGTGTGAGATCTTAAGTAAAAGAGGGGAAATATTCTTCCTCACAGAAACTCTAGTTCTGGTCAGATTCTAGCTTATCTCTGAATGAATTACTTGGATTCCAAAACAATGGAATAAGTCAAAGCAATGGAATCAGGGCCCACTCTGGAGCTAAGCTGAGGTCATTCTCACTCAATCCAAAGAGTGTGAGCATGGGGGATGAGAAAAAGATACATACTGGGCTTTTTTACCCAAAAGAGGATGAAGGGCTACAGGATAACAATGGCTTCAACCTCAGTGAATGAGCAAAGTAATTCATAGATACGACTTTAGACAGGCTTTTAGTCTGGCCGCTCCAGGTAAAATCTTGTCCCCAAAATATGCTACAGTGCTTTTAAAAATTGGAATCAGAATGCCTCTGGACAAGTCATGCAGTCTCCAATGTTGACGTCATGTGTTTATGTAACCTATTGGCCCCTTTGTGATTGAGGAAGCCATGGATCAACTTTGTTCCATATCCCCAATATCAATTATAACAAAAACAGTCAAGTATGTGGTTTTGCTTTTGTTTATTTGGTTTTGCTTCAAGGCATAATTACCAGAGGATCCTGATATGATTTGGGTAGCCTTGAATCACTCTGATATTTCCTTGTCAGATTATTTCTATGTCTAGCCCAATTCATCTGTACAGATCATAAAACAGTGGTTTGCAATCCTGAATGCACATTAGAACTTTTTCAAAATACGAAGCCCAGTCCCCATCCAAAAGTAAATTCTGAAGTGAGTCATAGAGCATTTCAATTTATTTTTAATTTCCTCAAGTGATTCTGCTCTGCAGTGAGTATTGAGAGCTACTGCCGTAGAAGGTAAAACTATCTGAGATGTAGTGCTCAGGAATGAATCATGCTGGCAATGACAGTGGGCTTAGAGAGCAAGACACAGTTATGAGAGATATATAGGAGGCAAAACTGGTATTACCAGTTTCTTCCAGGAGTTGAAAGAGACTTGCAAGAGAAGGAGTAATCTAGGTAGACTCCCAGGCTTTTGGCTTAGGTGACTGGATAGATAAAAGTGCCATTTCCCAAGACAGGGTACTGGGTAATGCTAAGTTGGAAGTGGAAATATCCAGGGGTAATTGGCCATACAAAGAGTCTGAGTTAGAAATGTAAATTTAGAAGTAATAATTCATGAATGTAGATGCAATTACTCCAAACATTTCTAAAGAGAAAAGGGAACATGGTTTGGGATAAGGAAGAACTTTTAAACGAGTCACAAAAGCACAAAGACTAAAGAAAAGTATTAATGCATTCAACAATATTATAATTAAGGAATATTTGTTTACCAAAAGATAGCAAAAAGAAAGTAAAAAACAAGCCACAAACTGGGAAAAGATGTGTGCAACACTTAAAAACATGAATGCATCAGTATCCAGAATATATAAAAACTCCTACAAATCAATAAAAAACATATAAAAAACCAACACAAAAAAATAGGTAAAAAACATAAACAGGTATTTTTTTAATGATCATAGAATGCATAGTATGTTAGTTTTATGTGTCAGCTTGGCTAGGCCACATGATGCCCAAATATCTAATTAAACATTATTCCTGCGTGTCTCTATGAGGATGTTTCCAGAAGAGATTAGCATTCGAATTGGTGGACAGAGTAAAGCAGATGATCCTCCCCAATGTGGTGGACATCATCCAATCCTTCAAGGGCTTGAGTGGAACAAAAAGGTGGAGTAAGGTTGTATCTACACTTCTTCTGCCTCATCACTTGAGCTCAGACATAGATCCTCTCCTGCCATTGGTCCTCCTGGTTCTCGGGTCTTTAGACTCAGACTGTAGTCTACACCATTGGCCTTCCAGCTCTCAGGCCTTCGAACTACACTACCAGCCTTCCTGTGTCTCCAACAGACAGCAGATCATAAGTCTTCTCAGCCTCCATAATCACTTGAGCCAATAACTTATAATACATCACTTTCTAGAGAGAGATGGGGCGGGGGGTGGTGAGAGAGAGATCTTAGTGGTTCTGTTTCTCTGGAGACCCCTGACAAATACAGAAACTGGTACTAAGAAGTGGAATGCTGCTATAAACGAATACCTGAAAATGTGGAAGCAGCTTTGGAACTGGATAAGGGGTAGAGGCTGGAAGAGTTTTGAGGTACATGCTAAAAACTGCCAGTACTGCCATGAAGGGAATTTGAAAGGCAATTTTGGCAAGGGCTCAGAAAGAAAAGAAGAGAACTGTAGAGGTAGTTTCTGTCTTATTAGAGAATACAAAAATAACCGTGTATAACTATTTAAAGGATGTTGGTAGAAATATGGAGGGTAAAAGCCTTTCTGATGAGGCCTTAGAAGGAAATGAGGAACATGTTATTGGAAACTGGAGGAAAGATGATCCTTGTTAAAAAGTGGCAAAAAATTAGGCTGAATTACGTTCGTGTTCTAGTGTTTTGTGGAAGGTAGAACTGGTGAGTGGTGCAAGTGGATATTTATCTGAGGAGATTTCTAAGCAGTGTTAAAAGAGTGGCCTGATTCCTCCTGACTGCTTAGAGTAAAATGCAAGGGGCAAGAAATGAATTGATGATGGAATTGTTAAGCAAAAAGGAATTAGAAGTTAAAAATTTGGAAAATTCTCAGCCAGTTCATATTACAAAAAATTGGAAAGCATGTTTAGAAGAGAACACTAAGGGTGTAGCAGACCAACCTTTTGAGGAGGAGATTAGTATGTGTGTGAAGTATATACTTAATCAAGCATCTCAACAGAAACTAGGAACAGAAATGGGATTATACCAGCAGAAACACTGCCAGCTGGGACTAAAAGAAACAGAGAGCACAAAATGAAGGAAGGCTTAACTTGAACTTCTTAAATTATACAGAACTAGACAATATAGTTATTTGGGGGAAGAATATGTGCTATTCTTCAAGACAAGGGAAGAAAGACCCTGAAGGCAGTTGAGAAATCACCTGGCTGCCACTCCCACTATAGACCCAGCGTGCGCAGACTGGAGGGCAGGGCTGCCTCCACATTGATTTCTAAGGGTAGGCCCAATGCCCAGCAGAGCCATGGGGAGAGAGCCACCCAGAGATAGAGGGGAATGACCTCTGCCGTCAGAGCCATGGGCCCGTAACTCCCACCAGGCAGAGCCATGGAGGTAGGTCCACTACCAGTGGGTCCTAGGGACAGGACCACTGCCCCAGAGGGTCTGGAAGGCAGAGCATTGAGCCAAAGATTATTCTCAAGCTTGAAGAGCTAATGGAATTTGCCTTTCTATGTTTTGAACTTGCTTGGGACCCTTCACTTCTTTCTTCTTTCCTATTTCTCCCTTCTATGTTTGTCTCACCATTGTATTTTAAAAGCACATAACTCATTTGGTTTCACAGGTTCAGAGCTGGAGAGGAATTGTGCCTCAGGACAAATCATACCTTGAGTCTCACCCATGTCTTATTTAGATGATACTTAGATGAGACTTTGGTCTTTAGATTTTAGAGTTGTGCTGGAATAAGTTAAGACTCTTGGATTGTTGTGATGAAACAAATGTATTTGGCATGTGAGAAGAATATGAATTTTGGGGGGCCAAGGAAAAAATACCATGGACTGTAGTTTGTGTCTCCTATCCCTCCTCCCCCTGCCCAAATTCATATGTTGAAGTCCTAACTCCCAATATGATGTATTAGGAGGTGGAGACTTTGGCAGTTAATTAGGTCATGAGGGTGAAGCTCTCGTGAATGGTATTAGTGTCCTTATAAAAATATGAGAGAACTTGCTTCCTCCCTCTCTGCTCTCTGCCATGGGAGGGTACAACAAGAAGACAGCCATCTGTAAACCAGGAAGTGGGCCCTCACCAGACACTGGGTCTGCTGGCACCTTGATCTTGGATTTCCCAGTCTCCAGAACTGAAAAATAAATTTCTGTTGTTTAAGCCCCCCAGTCTAT